GTGTAGTTCAATGGTAGAGCACCTGCCTAGAATCCCCCATGAGGGGCTGGGGTGTGACTCAGTGGTAGAGTACCTGCCTAGAATCCCCCAGTGAGGGCTGGGGTGTGGCTCAGTGGTAGAGCACCTGCCTAGCATGTGGGAGGCCCTCAGTATAACCCCTAGCACCACCACAAAGTAATAGTAAAAACAAACAATTCTTCACACTGGGTGTGGTGGCTTACACTTGTAATCCTAGCACTTGGGAGGTGGAGGGGAAAAATCACAAATTGGATGCCATTCTAGCTTACCTAGGAGACCCTGTCTCAAGAAGAAAGGAATAAATGCAGGTGTGGTGACCCACACCTTTCATCCCCTCATTCAGGAGGCAGTGGCATTTAGGTGTCTGTGAGTTCAAGGCTAGCCTGGTCTACCTAGAGAGTTCCAGGTCAGCCAGGGCGACATAGTGAGACATTGTCTCAAAACAAAACAAATAAACAAGAAACCCCTCTTCATGACATGGTTGGCACTAGAGACCTAAAGATTCACCCCAAGGTTGGTCCCCAAAGTGCTAGGGACTGTCTGGTGTTGCTGGTGTGTGGAACTCTGGGGCAGAATGTCCTGCCAGGGTGTGAAGGGGCCCAGCATAGCAGCACCTGGGCAGGGCCGCTGGATTCTGTGACACCTCAGCTGCCATAGCCTAGGGCGGGGTATCACCACTGGGTGGCTCCCTGCATGGCCTCCAGATGGGGTAGGAATCTGGTCGTGAAACATCAGCCACTTGCCAACATCCTTGTGCAGTTGACTGGCTATTAAAACAACATTCTCATGGCCGAGCAGGAGCTGTTAGCAGGGCGGATATCCATCTCCTCCCCGGCTCTCGGAGAGGTGCACGCGTTCCTTTGGTAGTTTAGTCCATTCCACCTATGAAATCCCACGGCGGTGTCAAGTTCTCACAAGGATGGGCCAGACGTCCCTGGAAGAGCAGTGAGACTGTGAAGATGATTGCCTGTGAGGAACAGCTGGGTTGTGCTATCAAGGCCAGTTTTTTTGGTTTTGTTTTTGTTTTTGTTTTTGTTTTTGTTTTTTTTGGTTCTTTCGAGACAGGGTTTCTCTGTGTAGCTTTGCGCCTTTCCTGGAACTCACTTGGTAGCCCAGGCTGGCCTCGAACTCACAGAGATCCGCCTGGCTCTGCCTCCGAGTGCTGGGATTAAAGGCGTGTGCCACCACCACCCGGCCAAGGCCAGTTTTTAAGTTATTTATTTATTTATTTATATTTTTTTAGATAGGGTCTCACTAGGTCACTCGGCTGCCCTGAAACTTGCTATGTAGACCAGGCTGGCCTTGAACTCACCAAGGTCTACCTGCCTCTGCCTCTGCCTCCTGAGTGCTGGGATTAAAGGCGTGCACCATCACACTTGGCTCAATTTTTTTAAAAATATTTTTATTTATGTGTATGCACACGTGTGTGTGTGTGTATGTGTGTGTGTGTGTGTGTGTGTGTGTGTGTGTGTGTGTGTATGTGCAAGTGCTTGTGGATACCCAAAGATACCATAGAGGACTGGATCCCCTGGATCTGGAGTTATAGGCAGTTGTGAGCCGCTGATGTGGGTGCTGGGAACCAAACTTGGGTCCTCTAGAAAGACCTGCAAACATTCTTAACTGCGAGCCCTCTTTCCAGCATCCCCACTTTTCGGATTCTGCTGGAGAGAGGGTGCGGGTGATGCCCTGGGGTACGGGTGATGCCCCGGGGTGTGGGTGATGCCCCAGGGTGCGGGTGATGCTCTGGGGTACATGTGGAGGTCAGAGCCAGCTCTGTGGAGCTTGGTCCCCCCTTTCATCTCTATGTGGGTCCCCAGGATCAAGCTCAGGCTTCCTAGCTTTGGCCGCAAGTGTCTTTCCAGGCTGAGCCATCCTGCCTACACTCCACAGCCAGGAAGTGCTGCACACCATGAGTTTTACAAGGGCTGGGTTGGGCTGCGCTGTGCTTTGGAAACTTTGGTTGCTTTTAAGGATCTCCATTTTCTTGCCCCATCCCTCTGAAGGGACTAGGGAGGAGGGAAGAGCCACTGGACACTTGAGCATCCTTAACTTTCTGCCTGCCATCGTTCTACTGGCTTGAGACTCCGGGGGAAGAGGGGGTGTGTTTAGTTGTCTGTGAAGAAAGCTATTGATTTACTTTATATGCTGGTATATTTTAAACCAAACTTGAAGTTTATTTCTTTGTTTTGTGTGTGCGGCAGTGAGTGGAGGTCAGAGGACACAACTTTTGGGAGTTAGTTCTCTTGTTCTACCATGAAGGTCCTGGTGACCAAACTCAGGTGACAGGCTTGATAGCAAGCACCTTCACCCAAGGAGCCATGTCACGGTGTCTCTGTTGATGTTGGGACAATTCAGGCGGCTAGGGATGTAAATTTCCCTCAGGTCATTGGCAACGCCTGCATGAATCTAGAACAATGATTGGAAACAAGTCTCCGGGCTGAAGAGATGGCTCAGTGGTCAAGAACACAGGCTGCTCCTGCAGAGGACCCGGGTTCGATTCCCGGCATCCACACATGCTGACTCACAATCCTCTGTAACCTCAGTTCCAGGGAATCAACCCTCTCTTCTGACCTCTTCAGGCACCAGGTGCGAATGTCGCACACACACACACACACACACACACACACACACACATTCAGGCATAACACACACATAAAACAAATATTTTTTAAAAAAATTAAAGAAGGCTGTGTTATTTCCTATTGGGAAGGGGGACAAAAGGCATTACCAGGCAGATAGCCCGTATACCTGTCACTCTAGTAATTGAGAAAAGACCATGGTGAGTTCAAGGCCAGCATGAGCTAACATATCAAGATCCTATTTCAAAACACACACACACACACACACACACACACACACACACACACACACGTGGATGCGTCCCCTCCCCCCAACTCCTTTACCTGGGAATCTGCTGGAACTTTCGCTGGGGTGGTACATTCATTTTTGGTGCATAAAGGTCTCCGTTCTCGTGTGTGTGTGTATGTGTGTGTGTGTGTGTGTGATATTTTGTGTTTTTGAGAACCTTAAACTTTGTGTATCTGAGAACGGTCTTGAACTCCTGATCCTTCTGCTTCCATCTCCCGAGTGCTGGCCTCAAAATCACAGTCCTTCTCATGCTTCGGACACGTGCCGCCAAGTCCGCCCTACCCCATTTCCCCTCCACTCACTACTTCGTAGGGATTGCAAAGGCAAACTCACGCCCCCGTGTGGCGGCGGCGGGAATCGCCGCAGCCTTTGCAAAAGCCTCCACAGAAGGCCACAGGGCACCAGGATCCCAAAGTCGGGGACCCTTTCCCAAGGCTAGCTGATCCTTGAGCCCCGTGAGAATACACTCACCTGAAAAATGAAAATCCCTTACTTGTGTTCGCAGGTGAGTGTGTGGGTGGAGTGCGCACAAGTGCCACATGCGTGGAAGTCAGGGTCAGAGGACAGCTTGCCAGAGCCGCGTCTCTCCTCCCATGTGGAAACCACCCAGGTCCGCCGTCTCACCTGCCCTTCATTCGTCTTTCAACTCAGCAAACACCAGTGATCCATGGAGACCAGGACAGGTGCTGGGACGAGTTGGTGGGATGGGGTAGGGTGAGGTTAACCCTCTCCAATCCCAAGGAAGGAGGTTAAAACCCCTCCTGGTCTACAGGGCCCTGGGCTCCCGTCTAGTGCAATTTCAAAAGTTGCTCCACGCTCTATGTTTCTCTGGTCAGTGGAACATTTGGCCGGGGTGTAGCTTAGGTCTACACCTCCAGGGGTCACTTGAATGCTGGGGTGCAGCAGGATGGAGGATACGACTCTGAAACAGGGGTTTATGGCTTGATAAAAATCTGGTCAACAGAGTGAGATCCAGGACAGGCACCAAAACGACACAGAGAAACCCTGTCTCGAAAAACCAAAACCAAACCAAACCAAACCTGCCACTGAAGCATATGCCGGGAGAGAGTCGCTGTGGCCACTCGATCCTGAAATGTAGCCGGGTCTCTCTGTGGCTCCCAAAGCACAGGCTGGTGGGGATCAAAGGACCCACAAGAGACCGTGCCGGGACCACAGGCCGCACGCTCCTGTCCCAGAGCCGGCGTGGGCAACACTCCTGCCACAATAACGTTTATTAATTTCCAAAGAGCTTGATCAGACAGGCCCAACGGGACGTGGGGTGGGGTGGCTGCACAGTGTGGGCAGGCAAGCCAGTGGGCCTCAGGTTTGCCATCGAGGAGGACGGGATAGCTCTGCGGGCTTGACCTGGCTGAGGCCGGGAATACACCCTTCCCCTGAGAGGATGGGGGTGCAGGCACGCCATGAAGTGGTTAGCAGGAGTGCATGCGCGGGCCCTGCTGCCACGTGGCTACAGCACACGGGCGCCCCCGCATGGTGATAGCGGGAACCACCGGCTTTGTCCCGGAGAGCTTTTCCTTCGATGGAGTGCCGTGGGCCCCAAAGAGCCCACTACGGCAACTGCGAACGTGTGACCCTGAGGACAATGGGAGGGCATGGCATCTCCCCTACAGTAACAGATCCCACATCTGGACAGGTGTCAGTCTGAGGTTCAAAGCAAGGCAGACAGACTCCTCCAAAGTCAGAACCAGCTGTGCCCACGCCCGTGCTTAACACTGTATGTGGCTCACAGCAGGTGCGCAATAAATGATGTGGAGTGAGCAGACAAGTGTGTGAACCCCCTCTCTGTGTGTGTGGGGGCTGGGGTAGGTAGCCGAGCTGTCGTTAATAGCCATTTACACTCTGTAACCTTTACACCGGCGACTCCCACCCTCCGAAAGAGCCAGGCTCTTGGGACAGGGTGGGACATCTGCAGATGCATGCCAGCCCTGGTGACTGGGTAGGACAGAAGGTGGTCCGAGGCTCCTGTGCCTCATGATGGGCCCAGCCCAACGTACTAACTGCAGCAGAGCAAGGGATTCTCTGGGTTTTTGCTTGCTTGCTTGTTTGTTTGTTTGTTTGTTTTTTAAATTTATTTTATTTATTATGTATACAGTGTTCTGCCTGCATGTGTCTTTGCAGGCCAGAAGAGGGCACCAGATCTAATTGTGGGTGGTTGTGAGCCACCATGTGGTTGCTGGGAATTGAACTCAGGACCTCTGGAAGAGCAGTCAGTGCTCTTAACCTCTGAGCCATCTCTCCAGCCCTTTGTTTGTTTTGAGATAGGTTCTGCTCTACAGCCCAGACTAGCCTGGAGCACATGACCCTTCTGCTTCCATGACCCTTCTGCTTCAGCCCCCTAAGTGTGTGGATCACAGCCTTGTGAGACCACACCCATCTCCTCCTGAGTTCTCTGAAGTCTGGTTAAGGTCGGGATGGACTAACCACTTCCTCCAGCCTTACGTAAAGGAAGTTAGGCAGAACTCACTCTGACCTTAACCATCTCCAAATGCGCCGAGGCCTTGTGAGGGACAGAGACAGATATGAGGGTCTGTGAAGATGGCAGACCCCCCCTACAGGCCCTGTGTCCCTGCTCTGTCCTTCACCCCAGGCCCAAGCTGCAGAGACCAGGCTACGGGCTGAGACTGGGAAGGGGATCCAAGCTAGGCTCACAGCCCACCGGCAGGGTGGCAGCCTCGCTGGGGGGGATGTGGTGTGTCATGTAGCGTTTTCCCATGAAGGAGCCAATCCGTAGCTGCTCGGGGGCTTCCTCAGGCCACCACAGGCTGGAGCTGCACGTGACAGAAGGGGAGAGGCAAGTTACATCCCAAACCAGAAGATGCCACATGACAGCTATGTATGTCCCCTTCCCCCAGTCTGTCCCCTCACCGACCGGCCCTCCTTTTTATTTGGTGCACAAAGTGTGTAGTGTATATGTGTATGCACATGGGTACACACGTATGTGTGTGTGTGCATGTGCCTGTGGGGAGGCCAGAGGTTGAGTTGAGTGTCTTTCTCGATCTCTCTATATTTCATATATTTAAAAATATGTATCGGTTGGGGGGTGCACATGCCACGGTGTGTGTGGGGGTCAGAGGATAACGTGCAGGAGTCAGTTCTCTCCTTCCACCACGTGGGTCCCAGACAGAGGTCCCACCCAGGTCATCAGGCTTGGTGGCAAGAGCCCTTACCCACTGAGCCATCCGGACAACCTTATCTTTTTAAGACAGAGTCTTTACCTGAAACCCTTCACGACTGGCTGGCCACAGATTCTAGGGACCTCCCTCCCCTGGGTTAGGTTTACAGACACTTACAACCACATCTGGATTTTATGTGGGTGCTGGGGCTCTGGACTTCAGTCCTTGTTTGTGCAGTGAGCCCTGTACTTACTAAGCCATCTCCCCAGGTCTCTCTTCCCTCTGTATTGGAGCCAACTGGAGAGGCACCTCCTCCAGGTAGCTATCCTTAATATCTACCCCAGGGGCAGTTACCAAACCACTCCAGGGGCTCCTGGAGAAAAGATAAAGGCCAGGGGAGAAGCCCCAGCAGAAGGCACAGACCCCTGACCCCGTCTTCAGGTGAGCTCCTATCACCCAGGTGACAGACGCAGAGTGGAAATTCTCTCCACACTGCCTGGAAGGGCATGAGCCAGCTCAGAACTGCGGCATTCATGAGAGGACTCCAGGACTGAGGGATCAGGACAGGGAGGGGGTTCCAGGCAGAAAAGGTGCCCTCGGGGTGTCACCTCAGGGTGTCATCACTCACAATCGCATTGTCCAGGCTGCCAGGAAAGCCAGGAGCAAGAGGCCAGCCAGGGCAGAGAGGATGGACGTAATGACGATCATACAGCCGCTCCGCCTCCCGGGCCACGTGTCAATGGAGCTGGGGGATTTCCCTGCACACATAGGAATCATTCAGAGGCTGCCCATCCACCCCAAGGCTGTCTATCCCTCACCATTCAAGTTCAACGTGCTTCGAGGCTTGGATGAGAGTCTCCCAAACCCACCTATCCTGTCCACCAGACTGGATCCGCCATTGTTCCAACCTCTTCTATACTGGATTCACCTTCTAGACTATTCCCTCCACTTCCTCCATCACTGCCCACACGCAGCAGGCAGATCTGGGGACTCACCTTGTCTCCATGTTGGTCCCTATGTCTGAAGGCATTGAAAGCCTTCAGATGACAGTCACCTGTCACCCCACCCAATTGCCTTGGTAGCCTGTCTCTGAGGCAACCGCCACCCCCAACACTGGCCTCTACCTGGAAGATGATGCCTGGGCCCTTCTCCCTGCAGTAGAGAGGACCTGGGGCTGATGAGGCAGGGGCTGGGCAGCTAAGCAAGGGTTCATAGGTAATGAGCTAGGACTGGTGCTACATGTTTGTAATCTCAGCTACCTGGAAGGATGAGGCAGGGGATCTCAAGGACAGGCCATCCTGGGTTACAGAGGAGAGTCAAAGTCAGCTTGGGCAACTCAGACCCTATCTCAAAGTAAAAAGAGGGCTGGGAATGTAGAATCCCCCAGTGAGGGGCTGGGGCGTGGCTCAGTGGTAGAGCACCTGCCTAGAATCCCCCAGTGAGGGGCTGGAGTGTGGCTCAGTGGTAGATAGAGCACCTGCCTAGAATCCCCCAGTGAGGGGCTGGAGTGTGGCTCAGTGGTAGATAGAGCACCTGCCTAGCATGCATAAGAGTCAATGTCTAGTACTAAAACAACAACAACAAAGGTTTAGCACCATTATGATGGATCTGACCCAGGTCTCACTCTACAGCATGAGGTTCAGGTAGAGGTTAAGTCAGTCTTCAATCCCTCACCCCAGCACTACCTTGGTGGAGATAAATGGGATTGGACCACTTCGTCTCAGCCTTGGGCGGACCACTGGCATCCATCAGAAGGAACTTCACGCTGGAGACAGAAAAGCAGTGGGGACAAACGTAAGTCTCGGATGTCTCGATCTGGGCATGGTGGCACAGGCCTGATGTCCCAGGCACTCTGTAGGCTGAGGGAAGAGAGTCCTAAGTTCAGTGCCTGCCTGGCTACATGGCAAGACCTTGTCTCAGAAGAAAAGGTAAAGACGTGTTGAGGATTCAGCTCAGTGGTAGAGCCCCTGCCTAGAATCCCCCAGTGAGTACTGATCTCTGGAGACTATGGGGGCCACCCATATGAGAAGAAGGTAGGCCTCTAATTAATAGCCCTGGCAAAGGCAAAGAGATGGAGGTAGGGGTGTGGTCAGGGCCTGTTGGGAGCCTTGAGGGCCTGGACAGTAGGGAGGGGGAGGACTTGGCTCTGGGAAGAGAGCATGGTGTGCCCAGTAGAGTGGAGGGAGCCAGCATTGGTGGCTGATGGGAAGAGGGCAGGGTGGAGCGGCCGGGAGAAAGGTGTTATGGCCAGCATTGATAAAGGAACAGAGGGAGGCTGGATGGACAGAGGTGCCATCTCCTGAGACTCCGTCCTGCAGTCTGGGCTCCCACTGTTCTGAGGACACCTGGGATCTTCATCTCATGATGGACCCTGAAAAGAACCTTGTTTGAACTCCAGCACAACAGGCCTCAGTTTCTTCATCTGTACTACGGGTTGGGAAGCCCATGTATTCTGTCAGATCTGCTTATGACCAGAAACAGTGATCTCATCCTGAAACCCACCTTCCCCTCTTAGGACACACTTGGAAAGGACTCTCTTTTTTCTTTCTTTGAGGTTGAGTCTCATGTAGCCCAGGCTAGCCTTGAATTCAATATGCAGCTGAGAAAAACCTATACTCCTGGCTTCCCTGGCTTCTCACCCTCTTGAGTGCTGAGATTTCAGGCATGCACCACCACTCCTGGTTTATGTGGTGCTGGGATGGAACCCAGGGCTTCACACATGCAAAATAAACACTATCACCTTAGCTACACCCCCAGCCAGATGATCTTTCACTTAACAGAGTCTTAGGTAGTAGCTTGCCTCAAACTCATTATGTCGCGGCAGCTAGCCTTGAACTCACGATCCTCCTGCCTCTGGCTCCAGAGTGCTGGGATCACATGAGTGTGTCACTACGAAAAAATCTTTTTGACGCCCCCACTACGCAAAGAAAGTAAATTGCAGCTAGCATGGGGGAAGAGCTGTGACTGGCCAGCATCCAGAAGAAGGTCCTGGAGCCGCAGGGTCTGAATCTGGTCCAAGAAGTCCCGCCCCCCTCCCTGAAAACATCCAATCCCAGGGCAGGGGCTCCGCCAACCCACCTGTAAGGCCCCTGACTGGGGAGGGGAGCGTTGCAATAGGGTTTCTGGTAACAGCCGGAGTCATGGCCCACCCGAAGCACCGGGACACCTCCACTGCCACCCGTGGGATCCTCACAGGGCAGCTGATCCAGGGACAGGGGTAATGTCATATAGTGGCCGTCAGTCAGCAGCTGTGGGGAGGTCGGGATCTCAGCAGGGGTCTGCGGGTTCTGGAAGCCCCTGGAGACTGGAGGAAAAAAGGGTCAGATAAAGGCAAGAGCAGGGGCCGTGGCTGTAGCTGTGTTAGGTATACGAATACAGAAGGATGGTGAGAGGTCAAGGCGCTTGCGCCAAACCTGACGACCTGAGTTGGCTCCCCGGGACCCTTGGGGGAGAGAACCGACTCCCCCAAGCTGTCCTCTTGAATTCCACGTGGACACCCCTGGACCGACATATATGTAAAACAATTATTTTAAAGGAATAGAGAGCAGCTGACTGCTTCTGTCCCAAGAAGCGACCTGCAGAAGGCACGGCCTGATTTCTCCAGGTGACAGAATGGGATATCTTAGAGTAGGGCTTCTCAACATGTGGGTCGTGACCCCTTTGGGGGTTGAACAACCCTTTCACAGGGGACGCACATCAGACATCTTGCATATCAGATATTTACATTATGATTCATCACGTAAATTACAGCTATGAAATAATTTTATGGTTGGGGGCCACCACAGCGTGAAAAACTGTATTAAAGGGTCGCGGCATTAGGAAGGCAGAGAACCACTGCTTTAGAGTGACCAGTGTCTCCAGAGGGCAAGCTGTGATGTAACACGCAGTTGGTAGAGTGCTGGCCCAGCCATGCTAAACCCTGGCCTCTATCCCCAGTACCACATGAACTGGGTGTGGTTGTGCATGCCCACCATTCCAGAACTTGGAAGGTGGAGGCAGCAAGATCGGAAGTTTCAGGCCTTCTTCATGGGCTACAGGAGACCCTGCCTCAAAGAAAAAAAGAGGGAGAGGCGGTCCCTGTTGACCTTGGAGGACTTTTACCCACCTGGGGCATAGCACATACCGGGCCAGTCTCCAGCCCCGACCCCCACACCCAGAGACAAAGTCAACAGTGCCATCCTCCTCCAGGTAGCCCCTCTCAGCCTATGCCCCTCACCCCAAGACCCCCGGTCCTCAAAACACACCATTACTGAAAGCCACCACCAGCCAGATGGTGTCGTTGGCTGAGGCATGCCCATCGAAGACGCACCGAGGCTGCTCCAGACAGAACGTGGTGGCGGTGACCTTCCCTTCCAGGTCCCAGGCTGTTATCTGCGGCTTGTAGGGAATCAGGTCTATGGGGGACAAAGGTGAGAAGCAAGGTAGATGTGGCGGGCCTGCGGGCCTCCCCGACCCCACCCCTGCTCCCAGTTCAGGAGGTGGAATGGGTTCCACGTACCCCAGGTCTAAGGGCGTCCATTTCGGGAGTTGCACTCACCCAGACTCAGGCTTGAGGAGAGCCACACCAGCACCAGGAGGAGCAGAGGCCCAGGGTGAGGCTGCCTCCGGGTGAGCCCCATGACTGCCACAGCACTTGCCCGGGGCAGAGGCAGCCTTGGGGGCTGGCCCTGTTACACCCCACCTCCAACACCTCTGGCCTACTGTGGCTGTTACTCAGGCTGCCCGGACAGCAGGAAAGACCTGAAAATATGAATTCACCCTTTCCCCCTCCCAAGCGCGTCCAGCCCATCACGGGGAGGGGCTAGGTGGGCTCTTGTGGGGGGTGGGGGCCTCCGGGAGAGGGGCCATTTAGGATCGACCTTCACACGACCTCCAGCCACCCCCACCCCAGAGCGGATGACTAGACTGTGGTACCACCTAATTCCCTGCCCCCGGGAGGGAAGCCCCCCTCCTCTATCTGAACCACATACCTGAGATTCCTGAACTCTGGGTGCCAGGAGCCACCCTCTGGCCATCCATCCCCACCCAGGAAGTGAGGAGAGGGGGGCAAGCTTCGGGTAGGCTGGCCTTGACCTGCTCCAGCCCCAAGCAGCTCCGGGACACTGCTGCCCTCTAGGTACCCTGTGCGCTCCCCTGTGCCCCATGGATCCACATTTTCCCCAGCTCTGAGCCTCCAAGGCCTTCTCTGGGGCAAAAAACTTGACCTCCGATAGGACAGAACA